TAAACCGCTTAGAGAGAGCTGAAAGCCCTATGAAGCGGTATATAAGTCTTAACTGCTATTGCTATTGCTATCTTCCCCCTGTGGTGGCTTCCTGTTGGCTTAACCCACCAGTGGCTGGACCCGCCCCTCCCCGCCCACTCACTCCCCACCTGGCCTGGGAAGGGAAGGGTGGGAGATGGAGATTCGCTCCATATTCCAGAACGGGAACTAAGATTCATTTCTTGCAGGGTCTCACAGGCGTTTCTTCCAGGCCTTGTCGGTGCTCTGCACACCTCGGTCCCTCTGGTTGATGTGCGACTTCCTCTCAGCCCTGAGACACTGGCCCGGCCCGGCCATTTCTCTCCGCTGCTGCTGTTGGCACCTCCATGGCCTGCCCGCTGCTCTTGCAGCACAGTTAAATTTAGCGTGATTGACAAATGGGGGAAACGGCATCTCCTCTTCCTCCCGGAGTGCATTATGATCTGGAGCATGGCTGCAGCCGGGTCAGGAGAGTGTCTCAGGACAGAGAGCAGGCCGTGCGTCTCCCTGAGCAACCGAGATGCATCGCGCACCAACAAAGGCCAAAGAAGCACCTGCGAGACCCAGAGAGGGCCGGAAAAGCAGAATGAGAATGAGAGAGAGAGAAAGATGAGAGTTAAGAGATAGATGGGCGGGGGCAGACAAAGATACGGGGGGAAAGTGACAGACAGACAAAGAGAGGAGGAGCAAGAGATAGAGATGAGAGAGAGACAGAAAGAGAAGAAGAGAAAGAGATGTGAGAGAGACAGAAAGAGGAGAAAGATGAGAGAGACAAAGAGGGAGAGTGAGAAAGAGAGGGAGAGGCAGACAAAGATACAGGGGAAAGAGACAGACAGAGAGGAGGAGAAAGAGATGAGAGACAGAAAGAGAGGAGGAGAAAGATAAAGATGAGAGAGACAGAAAGAGAGGGAGAGGCAGACAAAGATACGGGGGAAAGACAGACAGACAAAGAGAGGAGGAGAAAGAGAAAGAGATGAGAGAGAAAGAGAGGAGGAGAAAGAGAAAGAGATGTGAGAGAGAGAGAAAGAGGAGAAAGATGAGAGAGAGACAAAGAGAGGGAGAGGGAGAAAGAGAGAGGGAGAGGCAGACAAAGATACGGGGGAAAGAGACAGACAGACAAAGAGAGGAGGAGAAAGAGAAAGATGAGAGAGACAGAAAGAGAGGGAGAGAGAGAGAGGCAGACAAAGATACGGGGGAAAGACAGACAGACAAAAAGAGGAGGAGAAAGAGATGAGAGAGAGAAAGAGAAGAAAGAGAGAGAGAAAGAGAGAGAGGGGAGAGAAAGAGAGAGAAACAGGTAGCCAAGGTAAGTGCCTGAAGGATCCCATCCTGTCACTGGGAATCCAGGCACTTCAACGAGCAGCGCTCTGGATTCGTATTAGTGGTCCGTGGGATTTAGAATGATGAATTCAGTGGTCCCTGAGGTCTGAAAGGTTGGTGACCCCTGCTCTACTGTACACAGCAATAAATTCAGTAACATGCCTGTAGCAAACAGTATTCAGCTCAAAAGACCATTTCTGGTCTTCAGAAGTCATCGCCGTTACTGTAGGCTGAAGGTACAAGCAGATAAACAAGAGGTCTGTTCCTTGAGAGAACGTCTTACCTGTTTTTGATAGACATAACAAGCTGCTATTGCAACCATAGTTGATTCTCCTACAAAGCCAGCGAGAAGTGATCCTACTCCCAGAGTAGCTCCATGGACCCTAAGAACATCAGAAAGAGATACATGCTACTCTCTCATTTCAACAATAAAGACTACTAGAATGATCAAAGTTGGGTTACATTCATTGTCTAATGTTCTTTCTGTATAATGTTACAAACTAAAACAATTGCCTTGATACCAGTCCCCAAAATTTCCCCAGGTACAGTCATTGATTGTAATGTTAAAGTTTGATTACTACC